ATACCATAATATATATATGTAAATATACATACTTATATATATATATGTAAATAAATACCATACATATATATTTATATATACATAAAATACATATATATATATATATATATATATATGTATATATCGCATTCACTTTATTAATATATATCACATTCTGTTCATTTGATACATGTCACTATCTTCAGCGAATTCCTACTCTAAATGGTATCTAGGAAGGAGTTATACTCGCGACTACGCATCTACCTGCGCTATTTATAGACTTCACTCGATATCTTGGTGTGCGATTTGAATCCGAAGCGTTTCTCATTTGTTCATTGTCCGTTGAGCAGTGTTGACGACGATGTTTGTGTTGTGCACTGTGGGCCTATTTTCGGGCGCTCACGAGTCCATAATATGAAATCACGGGTATCCCCCTTGGCCTCCTTCTTTCTGACTAAAAACATTCATATCGAAACATTGATATCTCAGATTCGGGAGTTCAGTGTGCAGATGACAGAGTTTGCGTCGGACGATCCACTGAAGTGGAATGTGTATATGCCTTCCTTGCGCTCGGCCACTCTGATTAACTTCTATCAAACCAACAACTTGGGATCGCTTGCTCTCGTTGCGCTTCAAACGTACGATATCTATTGTCCATCATATGTAGTATGCATACATAAATCATATATCTATATATCAATATGTATGTATGTATGTATGCGTGTGTGTGTGTGTGTGTGTGTGTGTATAGTAGTAGATGCACTTATTTATCCGTATTTGCGCTGATTAGTATATGCATTGTTACTCGGGATACATTCTAGTAGCTTTTTTTAGGGTGAGGGTACGTCTTGAAGCCTAAACGGGCTGCGACCAAATGAACAGTTTCGCTCGGTTATAGTTTTTATATCTTGGTTATTATACCTAGTACGTGTACTGTCCTTGCCTGGTTTTTGTGCTATGTCATGGCAGCGACCAGTTAATAGCATACTGTATGGACTATTATATCTAGTACATTTAATGTCCCTGACTAGTTTTGTGCCCCGGCAATATTTGAAATAAATGCATTCAATACCTCACACGCATACATCTATATATACACACATATATAAATATATGCATTCAACAGGGTGGACTACCTCACCCTGGAGTTCTGCTCGGGTGCAGGGAATTTTGTTTTTGGCTCCAACGCGACAGTCGTAGGCGGTGAAGACACTTTCGTCATACAAGCGCGGGCTGAGCGTAGTGGAATTATTATTGGTCAGTCGTACTCGGTCAGGATCACCATGAATAGAGGCATGGAGGAGGTAAGTATATGCACAATCATGCATATCTGTGCGTGTGCATGCATATGTACATATACACCAAATCACACATAAACGAACATGCACATATGTATAGCGTTGGCCAGTCGTACTCGGTCAGTGCCACCATGAACAGGTATATATTGATATATATATATATATATATATAGTGATAAATGTTTATTTATATGTATATATTTATACATATATGTATATATTTATACATATATGTATATATTTATACATATATGTATATATTTATACATATATGTATATATTCAAACATATGTATATATTTCTACTTTTCTATATATATATATATATATGTATATTATGCACA